CACACACACACACACGCACACACTCACACACACACACACCAGAACACACTCACACAAACACATACTCTCTCTCCCCCACAGAAACACCACATAGCACATACACACACAAATGCACACAGACCACGACACACAAACACACAACAACACACACACACACACACACACACACACACATTAGAAGGGAAACAGACAAATCATGGCGGCCGCACCTGTATGGGTGTGGCAGCGGACAGTTTTGCCACTGCCAGGCGGTAGGGCCCCAGCACCTCCCTCTTCTCCTTCTGGCTGGTGGGGTTGTGCAGGCGGCGGCAGATGCGGCGAAAGCCGTCCACTGACAGCGCGGCGGCGCCCTGGGGGGGGGGGGGTGTGGGCAAGCGAGAATGTGCTTGTGTGAATCTGGCTTTATGTGGGAGACAGCGTGTCTGAATCTGCAAGTAGAACACCGCACCTGTGCATGTGCAAGTGTAAAAACAACATGTGTGCCCTGGAACGTGTGAATGTGCATGTGAAATTGTGTGCATGTGCTGAACTGCGAACCGTGTGTCGCACGGAGCGCTGGGCCATGCAGCCGCCGCTTGGGCCGGCATGCTTCCATCCTCATCCCCCACAGCGCGCAGAAAACAGGGTGCTGATGCCGCAAACACGAGTTTGAAAATTCGAAAAAGGCGGGCCGTCGCACAAGGGAGGCGCCCCGCGCCCCTCCCCCCCAACCCACCTGCAGCAGCGGCGTCTTGGCCCACACGTCCTGCGCCTGCCTGTACACCGCGAACCGCGCCGCAAACGGCAGCAGCCGCAGCACGCCCCACACCGCGTTGGACGCCGCAAAGTTCGCCGGCGCCAGCGCCAGCGCCGGCAGTACGGTCCGCGCGAGGAGGCGGTACACGCGCCCAATGCCGACGACGCCGGCGCCCGATTCCGACGCCTTCGAATCATCCCCCTCGACCGCCGACGCGCCGCCAACGCTTCCCGCAACGCCCGCCGCCGCGCGGCCGGCGCCGTGGCAGCAGTACGAGGCCACGTGGTGCCGCAGCACGCGCAGCGCGCGCGCCATCAGGCGGGGGTCGCGGTACAGAAACAGCCCCAGCGCCTCGAGCGCCTCGAAGGCATCCTCCTCCAGCGGCCCCGCCGGCGGCGCCGGCGCCGGCGCAGATGACGTCACCGCTGACGTCACCGTGACGTCATCCTGCACCCTCTGCCACTGGTCGAGCGCGTCAAGGTGCGCGTCCAAGCGGGACGGCCCGAGGGGGCCGGCCGGGTGCAGCGCGTCGTGCAGCGGGTCGATGCGGGAGGCGGCGATCGCGGACAGCGCCGCGCACACGCCGCGGTCGGCGGCGGCCGGGACGCCCATGAGCTTTGGGGGTTTGGGAGGGCAGAAGAGGGTCCAGGATATGGGTTCAGGGTTTATGGTTCAGGGTTGGAGGTGTGCGCGCGGTCGGCGGC